TAAATTGATGGGGGGAAGTGCGGGGAGTGGGGGGTCAAGGTAACGAATCAAACCGAAGTCGGTATGAAACGATTCGAATTTTCCCTTTCCTTTTCCACCTCTCCTTTTTTTTTTTTTAAAGCCATTTAAATTTTTTTGTTTTATTTAAAAAATAAAAGAAAAACAAACAAAAACAAACAAAAAAAAAGGAACGAACAAAAACGCGATGGCACGAGTGCGAGAGGGTAAAAACAACAACAACCGACAAACGTCGTATAAATTTTTAATAATAATTTTTTATATGCTAAACATTGCAGAGAGGATTACCCTTTGTGAATATTTACTAACAAAACTGACCAATGGAAAAACAAAAAAAAAGGTTTCTGAACGTGAAAAATGACGTCATCATTTCATTCTCGTACTGAAGGGTTTTTTTTTTTCGTTTCCGGTGTTTTTTTTTTTTTTTTATTTCCGACTTAAAAAAATATTAAATTACACCGACTGAATTTTTTTTTTCTTCTGCTTTTTTTTCTCTTCTGCTTTTTTTTCTCTTCTGCTTTTTCTTCTTCTTCCTTTTTTTTATTACGTTGTTCAATTATTAATTTAAAACAAAAAAAAAAAAAAAAGAAATTTTCCCCCATTTTTTTTTCCAATGAAAACATTTGTCTTTTCTCTACTTTTCTCTCATTTCTTTTTTCGATTACCTTTTATTATTATTATTATTTTCCTTTTTTTTTTATTGTTTCGAATTATATAAATATATAAATTTAACGGATTTATTTATTTATTTACATAATTTTTTTTTCCATCATCATCATCATCATCGGGTTTTTATATATTTATTAAAATGGCGTCGATTCTTTTTTATTTTATTTAGTTTTTGATTTATCGTAGAAACGGTTAACCTTTTATTCTTTTGTGGAAATTTTTTTTTTTTTATTTTTCTTTTCTTTTCTTCCATCTTTCCCTTCCCCCTTCCCTCCTCTCCCCTCCACCATTTTAAGGTTTCCCACGAAAAAAAAAATATATATATATATGAGAAAATTTTTTTTTAATAACGTCGCTCGTAAATTTTTTTTTTATTTTTATTTTTTCTACCGATAAATTAAAAAAAAAAAAATGAAATGAAATGAAAAAAAAAAACAAAAAAACCGGAAACGGAAATATTTGTTTTTTTTCGGTTTTTCCTTTTACCACGATAAAAACATTAAATTTTAAATAAAAAAAAAAAAAAATGTTTGCAATGAAATAAAATAAAAAAATAATCGGTGTCGGGAATGAATAGTTTTAAATTATTTTTATTAACCGGATATCCGGTTTATTTTATAACGATCAAAAACTTTTTTTTTTTTTAATTTGGTACAATTTCGTATGAAAAACGCCGCGTTTTTTTTTAAAAAAAAGTTTTCTCGTTTAAATTTCAAAAATAAAAAATTCGATAAAATTGACGACAAACAAATAATTAATTAATATTATCATTAATATTATTATTATTATTTTGATAAAAGTTTTTGTTTATTGTCTGAACAATAATGATTTTCTCACATTTAAAAATTTTACAATCGAGCCCCCCCCCCCAAAAAAAAAAAAACTTTATAAAAAAATTTTTGTTTCGTGTAATTATTAATTTGACTTATTAAAACTTTCCCCTATCTCTCTCTTTCTCTCTCTCTCTCTCTCATATATATATATATATATATATATATATATATATATATATATATATATATATATATATATATATATATATATATATATAAAACATTGACAAACTATCGAAACGGGGGGAAAAAAAATGGCGGCGTTCAATTACAATTTTTTTGTTTTTCTCTTAAATTTTTCATCGTCTTCGTCATCGTTTTCAAACCTTAATCATTACGTAATTTTTTTAATATATTTTAATGGAAAATCCATTCGTTTTATTATTATTATTATTATTATTATTATTTGTATGACGTAATAAATTGCGTAACTTTTTTTTTTCGGTACACCGGAAACGCTCGTTTAAATTTCAATTTTGAAATAAAAAAATAAAAAAGGTGCCAATTCAAAAAGAAATAAAAAAAAAGTAAAAAAAAAAAAAGAAAAGGAAACCTGTTGAACGATATCCGGGGGAAAAAGAAAAAGAAAAAAAAAATGGAAAACCGGAAACGGAAAAATATTTTTTATTTTAACTCGAAAAGATTTCCGTTTTATTTACACTCGAGTAATCGTCAATAGTTTTAACCCCCTTCCTACTTCTTGTTTCTCTCTCCCCCCTCTTTCTCTCTCTCTTTTACTTTTTATTATTATTATTATTATCGTTCTTCGTCGTCGTAATTTTTTTTATTCGTTGCTCCCCATCCTCTCCTCCTCTTCCGTCTCTCATTTTTTTCTCTTGCATTTTTATCATAGTCGTCGTCGTCGTCGTCGTCATTTCATTTTCCTCACTCCCTTCTCTAGTTTCTCCCCAATTTGTTTTTCTCTCCCTCCACCTCCACCCCCACTTCCTCCCTCTTCCCCACCTACTCCCGCTCAATAAAATAAGAAAACTCGTAAAATCCGCGCGTCGCATTTTTTTTTTTTTTTTTTATTTTCACATTAATTAAAATCATTTGTTTTTTAAAACGCAAAACATCAAACGTTCGCCATTTTTTTTTTATTTCATTCCCCTTCTCACCACCACTTTTTCCGCCTCCACCATCATCACTCCTAACCTTTTCCGCTTTTCCCAAACTTTCACTCTACACCCTTTTTTTTGTTTTATTATTATTATTATCTTTCGGTATCCGTTCGAGGGAGATTTTTTTTTATTATTTTATTTCGAATTGAAATTTTTCACTTTCGTTCTTTTAAATAAATAAATAAAAAATTTAATTTTCATCGTCATTTTTGTTTTTAATAATGATAATAATAATAATAATAAAATAGGCCGCGGGAATATTAATAATGATAATAATTACGATAAGGTAAATATTTTAAATATTTTTTTTTATAACGGTTGGTGTCTTTTTACTTCTCGTTATTTCGTGTCAATAACGAAGGTCGTCTAATAAAAAAAAATTCCTTCCACTTTGTTTTATAAAATATTAATAATGATGATGATGATGATGATTTTCGATGTTAACACAAAATCGAATTTGAAAAAAAATTTTCTGGAATTACGGGGACAAAAAAAAAAGAAAATTTTATTTTTGGTCACATGCGGAAAAATTCAATTTTTATCGAAAAGGAAAGAGGGAGAAGGGGAGGAGAAGGAGGGAGGGGGACGTAAGGAAAATCCCCGAATATTTATTCCAGAATGTTTTCCGAATCGGTTTTTATTAAATTTTAAATTTCAATGGCGGCGCCTTGGTATACCTTCTTTTTTTTCTTCGTTGATATTTAGTGTCGTGTCAAAAGAATAAATAAATAATTTGTCGGACGATTTTTTTCGATGAGGAAAAGCGGGGAGGGGTGGGGAAAGTGCGAGAAGGTTTAAGAGGAAAGAAAAAAGTTAATGATTGTAAAGAAAAAGTTTAAAGTAATCATTTCCGGGTTCGTTGATTACTGTTGTGGTTCTACCGGAAATGAAGAAAATTTTTTTAAAAAAATCACGTCCTTCCCCTCCCCCCTCGCTCTCCTTCCACCGTCCCTTCTCTCACCCTCGTTTGTTAAATAAAAAGGTAATTAATACTTACATGTATGTTTTTAATTCCAGACGTGTTTTTTTTTTTTTTTTTTTTTTTTTTTTTAGTAGCAAACGATATATAAATAAATAAATAAAATTTTTATTTTTGTTAACACAAAAACTTTGCGGTTGTTTTTTTTTTTTTTTTTAATATCTTTTAAAAAAGTTTAAACAAATCGGATGAAACGCGTTTGTTAAAAAAAAAAAAACAACAACAACGGGAACTACAACTACGACAACGACAACAACAACAACCACAACAACCAACAAATTTTCGTTTTGTTTTTTAATTTTTTTTTACTTTTTCACGACGACGACGTCAGAATTTTTGCGTTTAAATAATAAAAAAAAAAAGTTTTGAGAGAACCAAAAAAAAAAAAAAAAAAAGGAAAAAGAAAAATCGGAAATGAAAAAAACAACGCGATCGGGGTTTTCCGTTTAAAATTTCGATTTCGACTGACTCAACTACAAACGAGAAACAAGTGAAATTTTATATTATCGATATATCGCATGCGCGTATCGAAAATGTCCCACGTGCCTTTTAATGAAAAAAAAAAAATTTTTTTTTTTTAATTTTTCAAACGCATTTTTTTTCTTCTCCCCTCTTCCTGCCCCCTTCCCCTTCTCGCCTTCCCCCTCATTCCAATTGTTCGATTTTCGTACGAACGAACGAAATTTTTTTTTTGTTTGAACGTTTGACACGTTCGTTGTTTACAATTATCATTATTATTATCAAGGGTAGGTTTTAAATAAACAAAAAAAAAATTAAACAATTAAAAAATTTTTCTTTATTTTATTTTATTTATTTATTTATTTATTTTTACAATAATAATAAAAAAAATCAGTCGATTTCTCTATAAATAAAAAAAAAATATAATAATAATAATAATTATTAATTACACAATCATCGATTTGATTCGAGATTTATCGAGTTTTTTTTTCGAGTTTTCGAGTTTTCCAGTTTTTTTTTTTAATAAAAAGGCACAAGTTCAAAAAAAAAAAAAAGAAAAAAAAATGGCGAATTCGTTCACGTACGACAGGAACTTTTATAATAAATATATAATAAAAAAAAATTTTTTTTTTCTGTTTTCTACTGCCACGTTTTTTTTTTTTTTTTTTTTACCTGTGTCGGATTTTTACGGTCGATTTTTTCAAATGTGCTCCAAAACAAAAAAAAACTCAAATTTAAAAAAAAAAAAAAAATTAATTTAAAAATAATAATAATAATAAAACGTCACTATTTTCATTTGTACACGATAATAATAATAATAAATTTTCGATTATCACTCGCGATTTTATTTATTTATCTATCGTCGTTTATATCATCATACACACTCATTATTATTAAATTTTTTTTTTTTTTTATTGCGAACTAAACAAGTATTGTTAATATATCAACGGGGGGCGGCCCTCCGCGATCAACTTGGGGGGTAGGTTGTTGTAACGTCCTTGATACGGTACTAGACCCGGAATTTTTTAAATTTATTATACTTTTAGAAAAGTCTTTATGACTCGATGAATCTTCAAACGTTCCAGCCGTGTTGTTTCTAACATCCGTGTTTTGGGGTTTGTAAAGGAGTATCTGACTCGATCTGTGAGTACTCGAAGTTGCGAGTTGTCCCAACCTTTCTTCGAGGGTTAATTTTTCCGCAGCCGTCAACCTTTCTTCCAACAGCATTTTTTCTTTTAATTTTTCACACGAACCTTTTAATCCTTCTTTATTATCGGATTTCAAATCGTTTTCCGTTATCATTTCTAACATTTCCGAACTTGATGCGGATGCACCCAAAGACGACATGGGACGTACCAAACTTACTTTGGGTGTCTGAAAGTAATAATAATAATAATAATATTAGAAATTTTTGGGGGGGGTTTTTTTTAAAAGTGATAATGATGATAATAGGTTACCAAATCTATGGCGCTCACGGAAGGTTTCATCATGAATCCTTTTGAATTTCTCAAACTTCCTAAATTAGCAAGACTTCCACCGATCGTGTTGATGCTTTCTTCTCTCAAAGGATTCGTGTACCTTCTTAAATTTTCTTCGTTTTGTAAATTGTTTGATTTTTCATCATCGTGATTTCTACTGCATGAATCCGTGAGTGCTCCGGAACTCAAGGAAACAACGTCTCTTCGCAATTGGTGCCAGTAAAATAGCGATGCTAAGGCTGCTGCGGCAACGAGAATGACGACGACGCAAACAAGTGCTATCAGATACCCATTTCCTTGTTTGTCTTCGCTCACTAGTGCAGTTTCAACTTTTACTTCGACTATAGCCGATAGGGAAAGTGCTGTAGCTTTTCTGCTAATGGATTCTCCGAGAATTCTAACCGCTTCTGACACTCTTTGTTCTTGAATTGAATTTTGTTTCGAGAGGAACTGAACGAAAAAACAAGAAGACGTGAATGGAATGTTTTGAAAAGATAGTTTTGGTTGTAATTGGTGGAGGATATACTCACCACTGTTACTTCGATGGTATCGTTATAATCTTGTTTGAGATCACAAAGGATAACTAAAGCGTCTTTTTTTCTCATGAGTGCTTGATTGGCAACAACAAGGCGTCTCAAGTCGATGCACAATGTTTCTGTTGTCACCCCCGTGTTTAATCTTGATTTTTCTACGACTAGAGTAAGTCTAGCACAGGTATTACTTAATATTGCTTGATTTGGCCAACAAGTCACGGGTGCCGGAAAAGATGGTGGCCCGACGCGACGATTGCTCTCCAAATCTCTACATTCACCCCAAGGAGCACAAACCGGGCTCAAACAAGATTCCCTCGAAGAAGGTACGCATACTTGATTCGTGTTGCAATTCGTTGCGTCGCGAGATCTTTGTACAGGAGCGAGACAGTTTCCGAGTCCGCACCAAACCTGAGTGCAAAATGCGACACCTGAAGTGCACATGCAAGTATTGCAAGCACTCATCCAAGTGGAATTATCCGCGTAGTATTGTCCTTCCCAGAAGCAAGAACCTCTCGCATAAGCTAATTCTTCCACTGAAATTTATTTAATTGATTTTTAAATTTTTTTTTACAGGTTCAACGGTTTAATCTCAGGAGGGTGGATAATACGTACGAATTTCACATCTTGAACCTGTTCTTCCCGGCGGACATTTACATTTAAATTCACCAATGGAATCGATACAAGTTGATCCGTGAGCACAAGGTTCGGAAGCGCATTCGTTGACATTCATACGGCAATCGGGTCCTGCAAATCCAGGTGCGCATTCACATAAAAACCAATTGACACCATCTATGCAGCGACCACCATTAAGACAAGGTTGCGTTGAGCAATCATCAACATCATGTTGACAATTTTGTCCTTCGTATCCTTCTTTACAAATACATGTATAATGATTTCCGGTGTTGAGGCAAGTACCGCCATTTTGACACGGATATGATTTGCAAGCGTTGTTTTTAGCTTAAAATAAAAATAAAAATATTTGAAAAATTTTTTCCAATCAAAAAATTGGAAAAAGTAAATCGAATCAGTTTTTTTTTTTATCTTTACCTATATGACACGTTGTTCCTTCCCAGTCTGGAGGACACAAGCACATGTATGTGGTGCCCAAGTCTTGACAAGTGCCACCGTTTTTACATGTGTGCCTGTCGCAATGACTATCTCTCAAATTACACGTTCTTCCTTTCCATCCATTTTGACACGTGCACAAATAATCGGCAATGGCATCCGTGCAACTTCCATTATTTTTACAAGGATTCGGTTGACATTCGTTTTTATCTACGAACAATTAAAAAAATTAAATTTGAAACTGAAACGACAACTTACAATCGCAAAGGAAATTTTTTCCTTTTAAAATGGTTACAAAATTAACCGCTAGATGTCGGAATTATATATATATATATAAATAATTTATTACCTATCGAACAAATTTCCCCTTCCCATCCTTCTTCACAAATGCATTGAAACGAATGGATTTTATCCACGCACGTACCCCCATTAAGACATGGATTCATGGTGCAATCATTTATATCTGAAATTTTAAAATTTTTGTTTGCGTTTCGAACAAATATGGAGAGAAGAAAAATTTCAGTAGAGAGGCACTTACTTTCGTGGCAATACTTTCCGGTATAACCGGAATCGCAAACGCAATGAAAACCTCCTTCACTTTGTCCGACACATCTTCCATGACCACCACAAACTCTGGCTTTCGAAGCAAAACCTTTGCTGATATTTCTCGATGCGACGGGTAAAGCGCAACCGTCAAATACTAAAAAATTCAAAAGGAACGATTATTATTATTTATGTCCGATTGGAAAATTTTAAAATAATGTTCGACGTACCGTTACAAGGTTGAGTCTTGCACTTAACACGAGGCGTACTGCAGTTTTTCCCGATCCAACTATCGGGACATCGACAATAGTAATCGGATTGAGTATTAAAACAAGGAGCTTTGTTTTCACATGGATTTGGAGTGCAATGATCTCTGTCGATCTATTGACAACAACAAAAAGAAAATTAAAATACGTACAACACGATTATGTTCCCTAAAAAGAAAATAATCACCTGACACTGAGTACCGCTGAAACCCAGGGGACAAATACATCGAAAACCATCAACTAAATCCACGCATTCTCCGCCATTTTGACAAGGATTACTTTCGCATTCGTCAATATCCGTGGCACAATCTCTTCCGGTATATCCAGGCATGCAAGCGCAATGATAATCCGATACCAAATCGATACACGTGGCACCGTGTTGACATTGTCCTACGCAATCGTTTATGTTATGTTCGCAATTTTTACCCGACCATCCTTTCTGACACTTGCATTGGTAATCACCGATAAGATTCTGACACGATACGGCATTCGTGCATGGATTGTTTTTACATTCGTCGACATCTTAAAAACAATAAAAAAATTTTTAAAAGATCGTTACAGACAAACAAACATTTTTTTATATATTTTGACGTGACGGTACCTATGTGACAGGCATATCCTTCCCATCCCGATGGACAACTACATTGAAATTTATCAACGAGATCAACGCAAGTTCCACCATTTAAACAAGGTGACGATTCGCATTCGTCTATATCTATTTAGAAAAAAAGAAAAGAAACCAAATTATTTCCACGTCTATTCATCCACTTAAATGTTCAGACAAAAATTTCAGAAAGACAAGCGACAGTCATCATTACTGTCGAAGAGAATGACATGAAATTTTTTTTTTTTTTTTTCGTTTCCCAACCAGAAAAATTTTCTCATTCAACCTTTTTTTTTTTTTGTTTATTTCATTGTTCTCCCTTCAAAGTCGGCATTTCTCTCTCTCTCTTTCTCACGTTCCTTTCTTTCTTTAACCCGAAATATTAAACAAGAAGAAGAAGAAATGATCTCACATATTTTCTTCACTTATTTAAAAAAATTTTTTTTTGTAATTTTCATCCAAAAAAAAAAAATTATTTAAACAAATTTTAACGGTTTTATTATCGATAACAAATAATAATAAAATAATAATAATAATAAGGAGAGAAATAAAAAAGCGAAAAGAAACAAAAAAAAAAAAAAACAACAACACGTTCGTTCTTTATTTGCTGGTTTTTTTTTTTTGTATAAAAATTTTCCCAGATACGATTCAATAGAATAAGGTACGAGTCAGGTATTAACAACGCATACTCTCATAAAATTAAGGCATTATTATTTTTTCTATTATAAAAATAAAAAAAAAAAATTGGACAATTATTTCGAGCCGAAAAAAATCAAATTGCACACACACACACACCAATGTGTGTGTGTTAAGCTCCTTCGAATACCTTTTCTTTTTAAAAAACTTTCTTTTAAAAAGAACCTGATGTGTAATTTAAATAACATTTGATGCAAAAGTCTTTTTACTTTTCCCATTTTTTTACAAGACAGAAGCATGTCCAGGTTGGTTCGTAACCTATTATTTTCTTTAGGTTTAAATTAATTGGATTTTCGAGAAGGTATCTTAAGCGTTTCCTCCTGACCATCAGTACCGTATTTAGGTATTTATATATAATAAATTTTCTTTTTTTTTTTATTCGAATTAAATTTAAAAAAAAAATAAAATTAATCACGATCGGGTACGAGAGAGAGAAAACTTTTTTCGTTCTTTTAAATTTTTTTCATAAAAAAATTCAAATGAAAAAAAAAAAAACGCAAATTTAACACGACAGGGTCGAATCTTAACAACCCTTAAACCCTTTTTCTTTATTCACCCTTTAAATTATAGTTCGTAAAAAAAAAATTTTTTTTAAATTTAATTAAAGGGATCTGGCAAAAAAATAAAAAACGATTTAAAGTTAATTTTTTTAAAAAATAATAATAATAATAATAATTTTAAATTATTATTATTAAATGGATTCGAAACGGGTTGCAAAAAAAAGACAAAGAGAGAGAGATAGGGGGGGGGGGAAGAGAGAGAGAAATACACGAAAGAATAGAAGAGAGAAAAAAATTTTTTTTTTTTTTTTTGCAATACAAATTAATTATCATTCGTTAAAACACGCGGGGGGAGGTGGAGGAGTAGGAAAACGTTTAAAAATCTCCTGCCACGTTTTTTTTTTTTTTTTCCTTCCTCCTAATAATAATAATTACGTTGTAAAATTTTTTTATGTAATTTTTATAATGAGTGTAAAACGTCATAAACGTCATTTAATAATTTAAGTGAGAATAAAAATTTTGTTGTTGTCGTTGTTGTTGTTGTTGTTATTGGATTTTCCTCAAGGGGGGAACGGATTAAGAAGCAGGGAGGGAGGGGGGTCGCAACCCGTCATTTAATTAAAAACCCATCGTTTTTTTTTTTTTAAATAATCTATATAAATTCAATATTATCGTATAAAATTCGAATTGTTAACCCCCCCGAAAAAAAAAGTCAATTAATTTTCCTTTTTTCCTTCTTTTCCCATCATCATTATTATCATCATCATCATCAGTATCGGATTCGGTTGTTCTTTTGTTATTTTTTTTTTGTCGTTTGTTAGAAAAAAAAACTTTTTTTATTTATTTTAATTCAACGGGTATAATTAACTAATATATCGAAAGAGAGAGAGAGAGAGAGAAAAACGAGGTAATTAACTTTCTCATGTTTGAGATTCTTTTTTTTAAAAATTTTCAATTTTATTTATATAATTTTTCCCTCCCTCTTCCCTCCTCCCTCCCTCTCCCCCGTCATTTTTGTAATTAAGTTTTGCGGGCGTGGAAGTCAAAAAAAAAAAAAAAACACAAACGCCTTTTTTTTAAAAAAAATTTAGATTAAGAAGCTCTATTTCAAAATTTTTAAAGATATAGGTATAGGTACAACACCACCACAACCACCACCACCACCGTTACCATCACCGCCACCGCCATATTTCATCCTTTTTCTACACGGATGTATCCGCCACTTTTTTTAAAATGATTTAGTGGTAATCGTGACATTTGATTTGGTATAATTGCAGGTTTTCGAACGTTAGTGAAACTACTTTTTTTTTTTTTTTATATACCATAAGCTTTAAATTTTTTTGATTAACTGTGGTTGTTGTTGTTGTTGTGGTTGTTGGCTTTCCTTCTTGTGTGTTTCCATCATCCACCTTCATCTCCTCCTCCTTTTTCTTCTCTTTTTCTCATAAAAAATCTTTCATAACATCTTTTAAATTCTTCTGTTTAATAACATATTGAATTCTTTTTCATTGGGTGGGAAGGTAAGGAGGGTAAATTGACTTCTTTTTGGTAGTTTATCACAAAAAAAAATTTTAACCGTTGGAGTTTTTATGAAAAGAGAGAGAGAGAGAGAAAATCACGAAGGTTTGGTTAATCTGATGATGATGATAACAATTTTTATAAATTTTGCAAAAAAATTAATAATAACGTTTCGTTTAAAACAAATAAAATTTTATCATTATTATTATTATTCACGAGGGGGGGGGGAAGAAGAAAGAAAAGTTTTAATAAAATTCATTTCCGCCGGAAGAAAATTTTTTTTTTTTTTTGCGAGTCAGAAAAAAACATAAATTGTTGTTAAAAACTTTATGTTTTGTTGTTGAGCTCCGCGCGTGACTTTTATTATTATTATTATTAATTCGATTTTTTGCAATTTATTATATCGGATAAAAAATAATAATTTATAAAACACGAATTTTATTATTATTATTATTATTTTTTCGAGAAACGAAAAAACCTGATTCGGAAGCGTGATTTAGATTTGAGAGATCATTTTCAATCTAACAAACAACATTATATTTTCCTTTTTTCCTTTTTTTTACCTTTGTTTCCTTTTTTGAAATAAATTGATATATACCTCCCACAACCCCTCGTTTAATTTAAAAAAAAAAATTTCAACTCCGCCCCAAATAAAATTAAAAAAAAAGAGAAAAAGGTACCAGAACTTACTGATTCTGCATGTTTGACCCGTCCAACCTGGTGCACAGGTACACGAAAATTGTCCATTTAAACCAAGTTCTTGACATGTTCCACCATTACCGCAAGGACTCGTTGCACATGGATTATCTACAATTTCACAATTGGCACCGGAAAAACCTTCAGAACAGGTACATAGGTATTGATCGGGTGCCGTGTTTTCACACGTACCACCATTCAAACATGGTTCATGCGTTCCGCAATAATTGAGATCTAAAAACAAAAAAATTTTTTTTTTTTAAAAATCCAGACAGAAAATTTAAAAAAAAAAATGTTATACGAATCTCCTCTATGGTCGTCGTCTGCTTGAAAATTAACAAAAAAAAAATCAATAAATCAATAATAATAATAATAATAATAATCGTTTGCGAGATTTTCGTGACGTGCCTACACACACACACACAAAACATTTTATTAAAAAACGTGACCGTTTATTAACGACTTATTTTCTTTCTCCTGTAGGAAGGAAATGTACAAAAAAAAAAAATTTTACTGCTTGTAAAGTTCACAGGTGACGATTGAATGATGAATGATGATGATGATGATGGTGATGAACGAGGGGGGGTGCATAAGAGGTGAAAAAAGGGAGAGTGGGGTAGACATCTTGCAAACCTCTCGCTCTCTCGCACGTACCAAAATCTTCATAGCGTTAAAGAATTTTTTTTTTTTCATCATTAATGATGACGTGACATTTTTCCTTTCCCTCCCCACCCCTCTCTCCTCCATCCATTCCCTCCCCTAGGTCGACGGTGACGCATTTAAATATTATAAGTAGTTGTAATAAAAAAAAAAATGACAGTTAGTAGTACAACAGAGAGAAAGAGAGAGAGAAAGGGACGTTAAATCTCGAAAAGGATTTAATAACCCATTGAAAACACAAAAACCTTTTTTCACCCCCCCCTCTTCTCTCCCTCATTCTCCTTTTGAAAATAAAAAAAAAACTCGAAAGGGGCCCCTAAACGTACGCATAAAAAACGCGTAACAAGTGTTAAGCCTCCGTGTGTGTGTGTGATTATATTAATCCGATTATTCCAGATTCCTGTCCCTGGAGGAGGAAGAGGAGGAAGAGGATTTGTCGCAAGGGAATTAATTGAACAACTTTAACCTTGAAACACATCTCCCTCCCTCTTCCTCCCTTTTTTCTTTATTATTTAAAAATAAATCCGAAGGGGATGAAATAAAAAAAAAAAAACTACCACCGCAACATTTTTTTTATCCGATTGATTTATAAAAAAAAAAAAAATTTCACGATTTATGTCATCTCGTTTTCCCCCTCCCCCCTTTCCCCCATCTCGAAATATCTCGATTTTTTTTCGATATCACGTGTCGCGCAATAATAATAATAATAATAATAATAATAATAATAATAAATCACGTCACGACGAAAATAATTTTTTTTTTTTGCACGATTTAATTAATTTAAAAAAAATTAATTATAAAATTAATCACGAAACGGCCGCCCGGGGGTGGAAACAAACAAACAAACAAACAAAAATGGCGACCGTTGATTATTTATTATTATTATCATCGAAACGTTTGCATCGAATTCACGAATTTTTTTTTTTATTATTATTTTAACGTGTTTTCAATCGTTTAATTATTTTTTTTTTTAATTTTTCTTTCCAGGGGTTTTCCCTGGAGGAAAAATAATAATAATAATAATTGTGCGTTACCTTGATCGCATAAAATTCCACCCCAATTTGTATCGCATATGCATTGCCAAGGCGTTCCGTTACAATATCCATGTTTACATCCTGGATAAGGTGAACACTGATCGCAAAATTCTCCTCTCCATCCAAGACGACAACTTTAAAAAAAAAAAAAAAATTCAAATTTATTAATTTTATTGTTTTACCGCCATTTTGTTTTTTAAACCGTTAATAAAATAAATTATTATTATTACGTAAAGTGCGTGTGTGGCCGATTATAAAACATTTTGTTCTGTGATTATGTGATTTAAGCAGACGACATATTTTTATTAAATATTAAAATGTTTTTTTTCGCAAAAGCGAGTTTTATAAAAAACAAACGAAGAGGAGGAGGAGGGAGACATTTTAAAAAATTTTAAATACGAAAACTAATTATGTCAATTATTTTTTTTTTATTAATAATAATAAAAATTTTATGTTTTTTTATTATTAATAATAATAATAATAAAAAACCCGACTCGTCTTACTTATTTTTTTTTTTTAAATGATGAAACTTTGTTCGTTTAATTGAGGAAAAAATAACTTAATGTATACACAGCTACCTGGTTGGATCTACATCAATTGAGCCTGTTTGTTGCCTGTTTGTTGCCTGTTTGCCTCTCTTTGGCAGTTTTTTATATAAAAATTCTTTGTTTGATGAACAAATAATACTTAGGACAACAACTCCTAGACTATTAGTTGGAATAACATTCCAGGTCAGAAAAAAAAAAAAAAAACACTCGAGAGTGCCCACAGAGTGTATAGGGACGAGTGGTTTTTTTTTATCCGCTCCTCCTACTCCCCCTTCTCCTTTTCCTGTGTTTTTTATAATTTAAATATATTAATAATAATAATAATAAAAACAATTTTTGTTCATTCACCAAAGTTTATCATAATCATCATTATTTATTTATTTATTTTAAATAAATAAAAAAAAAAAAAAAATAAGTTTTGATTTATCGTAAACTTTACACTTGATTTATATTTTTAAAAAAAACGTGTCAAAAGAATTTATCCGTGAGTTTTTTTTTTTTTTTTTAATAAAATATATATTATTAAGGATTAATAAATAGTTTATTAACGACAAATATAAATAATTAGATTTTAATGACGTCATTATATAAAAGAATTATGATGGAATCATGAAGAGAGAGTGAGAGAGAAATTTTTCTCTCGAAATACACGAAAACTGTATCGAATTTGATTTGTTTTTATTTTTTTAATGAGAATAAAAAACACCGAAATAAAAAAAAAGAGAGAGGAAATTAAATTTAATAATGAGAGAGAAAGAGAGAAAGAGAGATAGAGAGAGAGAGAGAGAGAAAACTTACTCGCAATCTCCGGGTTGATCACATTTTCCATGGAGTGGATGACATCCGGATTTACAAACGGCTGAAAGTAAAAAGAAAAAAAATTATTATTATTATTATCACACGAAAGTAGGGGGGAAGAGAATAAAAAATGGCGGCGGATATATTATTGTACTCACCGATATCGCAATTAGGACCTTTCCAACCTTCGATACATTTCTTATCACCATTTCTATCACAAATATAATGACCGAAATTATCATCACGTGGTTTGCAAAATTTCGTACAGGTTTGATTAAAATGATAAATATCGCATTGAACTCGGATCCTGTACGTGAGTTGAGCCGTTTGTCCAGGATGATTAAGCAAATGCCATTCGACACTTGGATCAATTATTCCAGAAAAATTTGTTTCTTCAATTATCTCGTTGGATGCTGGAAGAAAAAATTTTTTTTTTTTTTTTTTACAAATGAATCCCATTTTCGAATGAATCGAAATTTTATTTAAGTTAAAAAAAAAAAATTTACCTTGTAATGTGTAATTATTAAAATCCACTGCTTGAAGAATCAAAGTAAAAGATCTCTGGAATAAAAAAAAAAAAAAAAAAAAATTGTCGTGTAAATAAAATAAATTTTATTTTTATCTCTCGTAAAATGGTCCAGACGGTTTTTTTTATGTTTGCATTTGTTTTTTTTATTAGAGTCTACACGTACGTACGTACGTGGTTGTTTGAACAGACACAAACACACACGTACAAACACACAAACTTTTTTAACGTGTACAAACGCTTGGAATATTCATCGTGGAAGCAACAAAATGATAAACAATGTAAAATGATATCGTCCAATTAGCATTGATTCTTACATTAAATCCATCGCCTCCTCCTATCAAAACCCCCCGTCGCATTTACGTACTATTATTATTATTCTGCACAAAACAAGTTTTAATAATAATAATAATAATGTAATTGATTCGTTAATGCGCATCATTGAATGGTTTAGAAGAAGAAGAAGAAGAAGAAAAACAAACGTACGACGCCATCATTAATTTATTCACATTTTCAAATATTAATTAATTAATTTTATTGTCGACTTTAATTATTTACCAAAAAAAAAAATCTGGAGGCGTGCGTGATGAGAAAAGGAAGAGGAGGAGGAGGGGGGGAAGGGTTCCAATTTAAATATCGAACCAGATAAATAAATAATAATAATAATAATAATAATAGGAAAGGAAATAAAAATTCAGGCATTGTTTTTACACGTCAAACGTGAAACTCTTCAAAAGTGAAGAACGTAATGACTTTGCTGTTTTTTTTTTTTTCTTAAATGACAGTTGAAGTGTAGAACATCCGAACGTATAAACACGCACACGCACGTACACACACGCACACGCACACGCACGTACACAAAATAAACCTTTGATAAACCTCGTTTTACAAAAAAAAAACCTACCAAAATTATTATTTATTAAATGATGATGATGATGATACACTTCCGGTTTATTTCTTCCATCGTTTTGTTTTTTGTGGGGGGTAAGGGTAGGGGAGGGAGAGGGGAGAGGAAGGTCCGAGAGAAACGTAGAAACAATAAAAAAAAAAAAGGAGAAATTCGTTAGAACTTATCGGTGTTAATAGTTGTTACGAGTAAGTTTTTTTATTTTTTTAGTTCATTCACACACACACACACACTGATACAGAGTGTAAAGGTCAAAGAGCAACAAGTCACGCAATCTTACCATCAGTTGCAATAGATGCACGGATTTAACGCTTAAATAAAAAAACATTCGTGGCAGAAAGTTTTTTTTTTTTTTTTTCAACACACCCACGAAGAAGAGAGGCCCTTCACGTCGACCATCGTCCCTTAAACTGCTGCCCTTTTAAACCTCATACATTATTTATTATTATTATTATTATTATTAAATTCTTCCTTATTGATAATCTTAAAATTTTTCCATGATTCCTTCATTTCGATTCCAGTCAACATTTGATAAAAAACATTAAAACGTCTCTCTCTCACTCTCACTCTCTCCCCCTCTCTCTTTTTACGTCTAAAACTCCGCCTTTTAAGTAAACCAATTATTATTATTATTTTAGAAAAAAAAAAACATTTCATCCATCGACACAACAATTTCGATCTGATTTTTTTTAAACATAATAATAATAATAATTACTCATGAATTCTGGAGGGAAATTATCGATTCCTGTAAACTCTCCGTGATCTGTCAATCAAAATCGACACGAAACCATTTTAAACAAAAAAAAAAAAATTTTTTAATTCACTTTATAATTAACGAGTATTATAAATAATACTTTCCTTTGTTTTTCGAACAAACAAACAAAATCCGTAAAAGATTTTTTGTCGGGGCATTAACTTTTCCGTAAAAAAAAAAAAAAAAAAAAAAAAAAAAAAAAAATTATTAATTAATTAATTAATTTAAAAAAAACTTTCTTTCTTTTAAAAAAAATTTAAATTTTTTTTTGTTATTAAAATAATAATAATGATGATGATGATGATGATAATAATAATAATAATAAAATCCGATCGTAGTGTCAGTCAGCCCACCGAAAAAAAAAAAAAAAGTAATCGACAAGAAGAATTTCAGGTCGTGAGAAGATTCTCGTTTTGAAAAAAAAAAAAAAATTTCTTTGCAGCGCATACCAAAGAATACCAGCTAAAGAAGAAGTGGAAGAAGAAAAAAATGTCGGGGAAGAAGATGAAAACTAGTTTTGCTAATTTGTTTAACGAAATCATCTTTTTTTTTTTTTTTACTATAAAAAAATCTTTTCCAGATAATTTTTTTTTTTTTTAGATAAAAAAAATTAGACACAAACATGGATATTTTTCAAGTTTTTTTTTTTTTTTTGTTATGGTGGCGACCTTGAAAAATTCGAAAAAAGTTGGAGAAGTAATTAATTAAATGATTTTTCCTTTGAATTTATTCCACTTAATTTATATATTCACAATTAAAAATATATTTATACGTATAAAAAAAACAAAATGGAGTCGGTTTCGAGGACGCGAAACGAAATATTTTGTTATCCTCGTAATTTTTAAAAGATGATGATGGTGATGATGATGTTCTTATTGCAATACGAACGAGTACGATTGATAATAATAACGGATGCAGATAGTAGTGGATCCAAAAAACAGGAAATTCTATGATATAAACCGGGAATTCATAATAATAATAATAATAATAAACTGAATAAACGAGATCAAGGACGGACGAACGTGTCATAATGATGGTGATGGTGATGGTGGCGATGGTGGTGATGGTGATGGTGGTGGTGGTGGTGGTGGTGATGGTGGTGGTGGTGGTGGATCCGAATGACACACACGAGTACCAACCGGAAATAAATAATTAACAGGTTGATCTGTTTTTTTTGGTATTCCTAACTAAAATTCAGAGTCACGATTTACCATTTAACCATCGACAAATCAATTTGTCGAAACACGTTTTCGAAAATCCCGAAGGGCCCGTTAAATCATCATCATCATCATCTTCCGATTCTCTTTTTCTCCTTTGAGTGGCATCACCTTCTCATTTTTTATTACGAATCTATAACGCCCTCATTTTTTTTTTACTTATTAATTATTATCATTATTATTTATCATTGTTGTTTGTATTATTATCGAGAAAGAAAAAAAACCGTTTTTTTTGTTCAAGTGCTACCAACTGTCCTTTAATTTTTACAAAAAAAAAACCGTTCGAAAAAAAATTCTCCGTACATTTTAACATAAGGCGACTCAACATTATTATTATTATCATCATTATTATTAAAGTTTTAGTCGGTTAAGGTTAGTCAATCGTCGATTAAATTAATTTTTATTATTATTATTATTTGTGAAATTTTTCCATATTTGTCTGGAGAAATAAAGTATTAAAGAAAAAAAAAAAGTAAACAATTTTAATGGACGCATTTTAACATCGGGTTCGTTAAAACAATTAATCAATCAATCAATCAATCAATCAATAAATGAATCGTTAAAAAAAGGGAAAAAAAATTTTAAGTTGGCACCACCGTTTTTTTCGTTTTCCCCCCCAAAGGAATCATTCGACGGTTTTAAAAAAATATAATTAATTCACGTTTTTATTCGTTAACCGAAAAAAAAACAAAACACAAAAAATTATTATTATTATTATTATTATTATTATTATTATTATTATTATTATTATTATTATTATTATTATTATTATTATTATTATTATTATTATCATTATTATTATGCTTAGACGCGTGCACGAACGTTTCGTATAATTAATTACGTAATTTTTTTTCAAAAAAAAAAAAAACTGACGTTATTTTGAATATATAAAAATGATGATAATTATACGTAGTAAAAAAAAATTATTATTATTATTATTATTATTCATTTTTACGATTCGAAATGTGAAAAATTCAAAATGGCGGCGGTTTAATTTTTTTTTTTTTTGAAAATTGAAATGATTTTTTAACAATAAGAAGAGAAGAAAAAAAAAATTTGTTTCACTCCAGAAGGTTTTTTTTAAATCATCAACACTTTGTTTTGCAAACGCTAATGGTCCAGTCGTACAATCAATCATTCTCCAGTCTCTCTCTCTCTCTCTCTCTTTTACTCTCCCTCTCTCTCTCTCTCTCTCTCTCTCTTTCTTAATGATTGTATCGCTCTACCTGTAAACGATTTTCTCTCTCTTTTGAATATAATATTAAAAATTTATTATTATTATAATCATTATCATTATCATCATCACGTGGGGAGGGAGTGAGAGAGGGGAGAAGAGGGAGAGAGAGAGAGAGAGAGAGTTAAAAATTTTTATTATTATCTTCTTAAGAGAAAAAGTTCATTGGTAAGTGTTAATGAACGCAAACTAATTTTCTTTTTTTTGTTTTCCATTTTTTTTTTACAAAATTAAATTAGGTTTTATTAAAAAAAAAAAAAACAATATGGCGGATGACAAATAATAATAATAATAATTTTTTTTTAAAAACCCGATTAATGGAGAAAAAAAAAAGAAATTTTTTTTTCACACACTCGAGATAAGATGGAGGAGGAGGCTCGTGTTTGGAATCATTGAGGTCATCTTTTGTGCAAAGCATCACCCTCGGTTGAAGAATGGACAAAAAAAAAAAAAAATTCCATGATTCTCCAGTTCCAGAATCGTGACCGAAAAGTAGAATAATTGTCAACTTTTTTTTTTTTTTTTTTTTTTTTTTTTTTAATTTTCATCAATTCACGTTTTTGTGTGAGTGAGTGAATGAGTTAGTGTAGGTACATTAATTTATTCGAAGTTTGTTATTATTATTATTATTATTAATTCGGTCGTTTTTATACAAAAGAGGAGGTGGAGGGGGAGAGAGGGAGAGAGGTGATATAAAGCAATGAATCGTTGAATTAATTTAAACAAATAAATAATAATAATTTTAAAAAAGGAAATTGTATACGTCGAGTTTTTGTAATCCGCCATTTTTATTATTGATCGTGATTATCTTGATAATTATT